GAAGGGGTTAATCAATAATAGCCCATCTCGAAGGGGTTCAATAATCAATAATACCCCATCTCGAAGGGGTTAATCAATAATAGCCCTGTTTTTTTTTTGTTCACCCTCTGACAGTTTCAGCAGTATCTAAAACTGTGTCTAGCATTTTCAGGAGAAGGTCAGCTGTGACAGTCCCTGTATTTCTTTCAGTACTTGTTTACTTTATTTACTTATTACTGACCAACCTACCAAGCTGGTTAACAGTGTGTTTGAACTGTTACATAATCACCATTTTCTACAGTGCACCTTCGATCTCTATTTAATTTTGTGTTTTTATCTTAAAGGATATCCTCCGTTTTGTTCTGAGACTCCCCAAGAGACCTATAAGAAAGTTATGAACTGGAAAGAAACTCTTACATTTCCTCCAGAGGTTCCCATATCAGAAAAAGCAAAGGACCTTATCTTACGGTAACTGAATCTGAGAAACTATTAGTTCTGATAATACTACATGCTTATGCAACACAAACTTAAGTTCTACCTTCTTTGAATATGTATTCTCACAGGTGAGAGGTCAGATTCCTTTTTCTGCATTGTAACTGCAAAATTGAATCTGAACTACTCTGCCAGTAATCTGGTGTATGTCATTATGCATCGTGTGTGGCGGCGATCTCACTAAAAATCCAGTACTTAAAGCCTCACTCCAGGCCCCACTGCAAGGGTTAAATGATTAAGTCTAGGGGAAGAGGAATAAGTTGTAATATTAACCTTCCTCATTCCTGCAGTCTTCCACCACACTGTGTGACCAATCCCTCAAAGCTGTTTCCTTTGCCACTCAGCCAGTTGCAGGCTTTCAGACATCATCACGTACAGTATAATGCAGGACCAGCAGTCCTGTAATATATATGAAATATGCAAGTAGGCACCCGCACACCAATGTTTCGGAACCATAAGCAGTTCCTTCATCAGGCAAACATAGTGACCCGATGAAGGAAACGCAGATAGTTCAGAAACGTTGCTGTCCACTAGTGCCACTATATATTCTTCGCGCCTACATAAAGGTGTTTTGACACTTTGGCCTTGGTCTGTGGGTGACTACTTGCATATTTGGATTTACGCAGCGCCATTCGCTGGTCTCACCAGCACCTATTTGACTACATTGGGATTCCAGTTGGGAGTGGGATGCATTCTACTATGGACTGTAATATATGTGAAGACGGTGAGTTAAGAAGCTTAACAGTGTCTGGTTTTTGTCAGTTAAGTTTGGGCAAATCTACCTTAAGATTCCTGATTCAGCCCACTACAGTCTTGTTTCTTCCCCTTGCTGAAAATTGTAGTCAGGCACTTCCTGACTCTTCACATATTCACTGGCAAGCAAGACCACTTGTGGGGGCTGCAGCAGGAATTTAAGGGGTTCTAAATAGCTGGATAGAGATGTAACCCTTTTCTTAGTCTTGAATATACTGAAGCATGAAAATTCATTAGTTAGCAGGAGTATTCTGGATTTTGAAATAACAACATACCGCCAGTTAACACTTTTAACTGCTGAGCTGGTAGGCAAAAGGCTAAATACACGTGTGAAATACATGGACTATTTTATCTGCCATAATATTTGAGATTCTGTTCAGGCACTATTTTAATCTACTGCAATACCCTTGTACCTTCTTGCAGACTAGTTCGGTAAAACAGCCTGGTCCTGGATCCACCCATTTGCTTGCTCGTTATGTGCCAATACATAATATAGTATCCTATAATGGGTGGTGTGATGTTATCATTGAAATGTGTCCATAAAATTTAATTTGCTGTTTTTTTGTTTTTTTTGGCAAGTTGTCCATTAAAAAAAAAATAATAAAAAAAAAATGTATGTGTACGAGAAGACCTGGCTCGCGGTCTCCGCTCTAATTCATCCCAAAGATGTTCTATTGGGTTGAGGTCAGGACTCTGTGCAGGCCAGTCAAGTTCCTCCACCCCAAACTCGCTCTCCCATGTCTTTATGGACCTTGCTTTGTGCACTGGTGCACAGTCATGCTGGAACAGGAAGGGGCCATCCCCAAACTGTTCCCACAAAGTTGGGAGCATGAAATTGTCCAAAATGTCTTGGTATGCTGATGCCTTAAGAGTTCCCTTCACTGGAACTAAGGGGCCAAGCCCAACCCCAGAAAAACAACCCCGCACAAAAATTCCCCCTCCACCAAACTTTGCACAATGCAGTCACGCAAGTACTTTTCTTCTGGCAACTGCCAAACCCAGAAACGTCCATCGGATTGCCAGGCAGAGAAGCATGAATCGTCACTCCAGAGAACACGTCTCCACTTCCTCAGAGTCCACCGGCGGCGTGCTTTACACAACTGCATCCGACGCTTTGCATTGCACTTGGCTTGGGTGCAGCTGCTTGGCCATGGAAATCTATTCCATGAAGCTCTCTGCGCACTGTTGTTGTGCCAAGCTGAAGGCCACATGAAGTTTGGAGGTCTGTAGCTATTGACTCTGCAGACAGTTGGCGACTTCTGCGCACTGTGCGCTTCAGCATGTGCTGACCCCGCTCTGTGATTTTACGTGGCCTACCACTTCGTGGCTGAGTTGCTGTTGTTCCCAGTTGCTTCCACTTTGTTATAATACCACTAACAGTTGACCGTGGAATATTTAGTAGCAAGGAAATTTCACGGATGGACTTATTGCACAGGTGACAACCTATCACGGTACCACGCTTGAATTCACTTAGCTCCTGAGAGCGACCTATTCTTTCACAATTGTTTGTAGAAGCGTCTGCATGCCTAGGAGCTTGGTTTTATACACCTGTGGCCATGGAGATGGTTGGAACACCAGAATCCAATGATTTGGCGGGGTGTCCCAATACTTTTGGCAAAGTGTGTGTGTGTGTGTGTGTGTGTGTGTGTGTGTGTGTATATATGTGTGTATATATGTGTATATATATATAAATATGTGTGTGTATATGTATGTATGTATATATATATAATTTCACACACACACACTCTTCTAATATTTTAACTACAATTTCCCAGAGTGTACCCCCCACTTTGGAATTTATCCTTTACCCCACCCTGTCCTTTTCCTCCAGCTATCTCCCCCACCTACTTTGTTTGCATACCTGTCCAATAACCAACAACAATGTTTTACATGGTGAGGGTGCAACATTTGTCTAATTGAATACTGTTCTACTAACCCTAAATTTCTGCTTTGGTCCTTTCTACCATGCATAATTTATACAGACATAGTTCTGTATACAATGAGTTTGATACTGTATGCTTACTTTTCCATTTCTGTAAGGCTGGGTTCACAGCTCGTTTTTAGCGCGTTTTTTCGTTCAGCGAAGCGTGCGTTTCACGCTCATTTTTATACCTCCATGGCGGTATGCTTTTGTTTTCCTTTATTTCCTCTCTTTTTTTCGGGTTTTTTTTTTTTTTTTAAACTTTCAAACTTCCCGCCGGTTTCCGCCCCCTGCGACGCGGACGCTCGCAAGGGACGGCAGCGGCCGGAGGACACAGCGGGGATCGCGGACAAGGTTAGACCTACGCTGTATTCCCGAGTGTGGCTCGCGGTTACCGCTTTGTTAACCCCGAGCCACAGTCGGCAATACCAATGGATACGCGCTGAAATACGCCCCAAAGAACACACACACACACCTTGAAAAATGTTAGGCTGTCTCACCAGTTAGTCAAAAATGTCACCAGTCAGCCTGACCGGACCATAGTCTTGCAATTTATGTTAACATTTTTGGGGGACAGATAGAGCTTTCTTTTGGTGGTATATAAAATCACCACGGGGGGGGGGGGCTTATTTTTTACTATATAATAAAAAAAGTACCGTAAATGTAAAATAAAAAAATGTTTCCCCTACGTTATGTTGGAAAACATTTTTTCTTACCCATATTTTTGGTAAAATATAAAAGACGGGGTCACGTCGGGTAAATAGACACCAAACATGTCAAGCCTTAAAATTGCGTGCGCCCGCAAAATCGCATAAAACCACCACACTGAAAATTGACCATAGGCAACGCTTAAAACGCTTTTACCGCTCATCAGTTTAGTGTTATCAGTAATTAATGGCCCTAAAATTATTGCTCACACTCTGACGTTCGGGGTTATATGTAACATGTGCAGCACAATAGGCGCAATCGTTGTTTTCGCACCCGACGCATATCTGCATGTGTATGTGGGGGGCGGAGGACTTTTTCAATTTTTTTAATGCTTCTTTATTTTTTCTTAGTTTTTGTATTACTTTTTTTTTTACACAACTTTATTGTTATCACATGGGATAAGAATCCCCCTATGTGATAGCCAATTTACATGACAGGTCCTCCTTATGGAGACACCAGGGGTCTCCAAGACCCCCTAATGTCATCTAGGGAACCCCAGAGAAGCTGATGAAGCAAAGATCTGCTTCATCAGCTTCTGTAGCTGGAGAGTGACACTGAATGCAGTAAGTGATGTAACATACATCACTTCCTGCATTCCGGGACTGAGTAGATCAAAGGGACATCGTGTACTGATCTCCCTTTGATCTCCTGTCACAGAGCCGCGCCGGTCTCGGGCACAGCGGATCTCGGGACCGGCAATGGCAGTGACAGCTGCTTGTAATACAAGTGATCGGGTCATTTATAGTTGGTGTATTTGCCTAAGGATGAAATGAGGAAATATTTGTGTAGGACACTTTCACATTTTCATTATTTTGTATGCTTTCAGTTTCTGCTGTGAGTCAGAGCAACGAATTGGTGCTTCTGGTGTAGAAGAGATCAAATATAACCCGTTCTTTGAAGGTGTTGACTGGGAACATATTAGGTAAGTGTCTGGTCCTTTTGTGTACAGTTTTGTGTCTTTCTTGATAAAGATAACCTTTTGCGGAGAGGCCCCATAAGCAAAGGCCTATGGTGACAAACTTTGTGGATGGCCAAAGGCTGACCCGTTGTTATTTATATGTCATTTTATGTTTTATTTGAAGCAAAGAGATATGATCTAGGAAATTATTACACTTTCATACAGGACATAATTACATAAGAATGTATTTATTCAAAGGAAAAATCATTTAGGTAAATGTTATTTTCTACTTCAAATTGCATCTTCAGACTTCCATTGTTTACACTTTAAGACTGCATTCACACCTAAGCGTGAGCGTAGCCAGACGATATACTGATGTTTCTTTTTTTGTGTTGCTTTCAAGCATTTCTATGCACTACTTGTACAGAAGCAGAATTGTTTTTTTTTCCATAGACTTTTAAATAGGTGCACCTGAAAAACACGCATATACACACCTTTTTCAAGTGAAAAAATTGTGGGGGCAGTCCAGATGACCAGCGCTCTGGCGAAGGTGTTCACACACACACACACACACAAATGTATGTGTGGGCAAGAGGTGAGGATGGTGTGCAGCTTCCTGATGGTACGGAGCGGGGTGTCCGACCTGTGTAATTGTAGAACAAAAAAGGGAAAAGAAGGAAGCGCCACGACCAGGGAAAGGAATTGTTGTGGACCAATCGATTAAACCTGGTTGGTTGTTGGAGTGGTTCGACTGGCTTGATGGTGGCAGGGGGGTCAGCCGAAACGCAAACAGAGAAGGATAGAGAGGTGAGAAATCACACACAGTAGAATCAAGGTGTGGAGTGTAGAGACTCACCGTTTGTTAAGGGTAGATGCGATGTCATCGGCGAAGGTGATGGTGGAGATCCAGGGTCCTATGTGGTTGGATGAGTTGGTGCGAAGCTTCGGAAAGGCTGATTGGTCTATGAGGAGGAAGTGTCCATAGGAACCCGTGATGTGGTAAAGGCTGTGGAGAACAGCCGTCGTCCTGTGTTTGAGTATGTGCCAAGGGCTAATGGCAGCTGGGGAACCTATACCTCAAATAGGAAAAACCGTTGCTGCTGGCATGGGAAACCACAGCTGGGGAAATGGATATCAAGGGTGACCTACAGCTGTGGGACCAAGACAGGGCAAGGAGGGAGCTGGAGTGTGGAGGTTTGTTTGTTGTGAGAGAAGGGAGCAATCAGCTCGGACGGCGTGTGTGTCTCTCGACTGACGGGAGGGAGGGCACCTATCTCAAGCGGGGAAAGTGGGGAGAGCAGCTGTGCAGCGAGGCTCCGTGATGGAGCACAGTGTGAAGGGTTGCGGGTGGTGCTGGTCTGGTCACCAGCCTGATGAGGCTTCTCTGGAGTGAGAGACTAGGAAGAAGTTGTGTGGAGACGCCGCTCACGGGCATGGAACCAGCCCGGCGTCAGAGCGGCTTGTCTGTGGAGGCTAGCAAGAGTGGGTTCAGGCGTCCACGCGTTTCGAAGCTAACGCTTCTTTATCGAGCTGGGTGATCAAGGGGAAAAAGTTGTAGGAAGAAGGGGGAGTGATTGGCATGTGGTGTGGGATGGTCTGAAAAACAGGGTGAGGGGAAAAAAGAAGGCATGTTAATGGATGAAGAGGTGATATGGACAGATCGGATGTTAATGTAAAAATATGTGTTTGATTGAACTTGTTAAGGGAGGCATGGCATTAGAAATGAGTGCAAAAACCCCTTGGAAAACTGAGGGATGAGAAACGGGGAAAGCCAGAGAATGTACATGTTGTATCCACACATATGAAAGGGCATGGGGATAGTGTGTTGAGTTTGTAGATCCAGTAAGTCTCCTGTTTACACAAAAGGTGGAATCTTTCGGCAGGGGGTAGTTTTTCAGAGATTTTCTCTATTGCAAAAACCTTCAGGTGTTGTATGTTTTTATGATGTTTGGACAAAAAATTTCGCGTTACACTGTTCAGTGCAGCCCTTTTCAATGAACCTTCTGTGTTCACCAATACATATACGGTGTGGGCGACTGGTGCGGCCTACATATAGGAGTTTGCAGGGGCATTGGAGGCCATAGACTACATGATCATGGACACACGTGATGAATTGTGTGATGGGAAAATGATTCCCCAAACTGTCTTGGAAGGAGGATTGACCATAGGTAATGAACTGGCAAGTGAGACCTGAGCGTTTTCTACATTTATGGACCCCTATTCTGCAGCTGAAGAAGGATGTTTGATGGTGCGAAGTTTGCTTGGTGCCATGATGTTTTTCACACTTCGGGCCTTTTTGAAAACGACAGAAGGTTTGAGTGGGAGTGTTGGGCCTAGTCTAGGGTTACACAGGAGTAGGTGCCAATTTTTTCTGAGGATGGCTTCGATGGCCTTGTATCTGTTGTTGAAAGGGGTAATGAAACGTGCTGTGTTAGTTTGAGGATGGGCAGGTTGTTTGGGGGATGGTGATTTGGGATTTTGAGTGATAAATTGATTGCGGGCACTGGAGATGAGTTTATTGGACCATAGAAAACAATAGAATTTGTAATGCTCAGATGTGAATAGGTCTTTAGTGGCATAGTGCAACATTGTTTGTTTGCACGGGTTAACTTTAGAGCTGCAGCTAACGATTATTTTCATAATCGATTAGTTAGCCGATTATTAAGTTCGATTAATCGGATTTTAAAAAAAAGTCTCCAGTGATGGACTACTAGTTTGTATTGAGATTGTAGTCCATCACGGGAGCAAGCTTGGAGCGGTGGAAGTAAAAAAAAAGTGTGGTGTGCAATATAGTACATTATAAAGCGGCACAGTGCAGAATACCAGCAGCTATAGCGGAATGTAGCAATAGTACATTATACTATAATGTATTATTGCTGGGATCTGATGTATTTCTCTATAGCTGGCGTTATTGGAGAGAACGGATATGATGCAGGAATAGGGAGGACGGGTATGATGGTGGAATGGGGTGCAGAGGACGGGTATGATGGTGGAATGGGGTGCAGAGGACGGGTATGATGGTGGAATGG